CACACAGATCTGTCCAGACCCATATAGATTTGTATGGACCCCCACAGATCTGTATGGACACACTTAGACCTGTACAGACCCCTATAGATCTGTACAGACCCCTATAGATTTGTATGGACCCACATAGATCTGTATGGACCCACTTAGACCTGCAGGGACCCATATGGATTTATACGGACCCATATGGACCAGCTGATGGCCTGTAGCGCCCAGAGCACGGAGCTGAATACAGGGATGCAGCCCTATAGCGCAGTATGGGACTGGCTGGAGCTGGCAGCCGGGCTGAGCGGTAGCAAAAGAAGTCTGAATTTAGGGGATTTTTAAGGTTTTTTTGGTGTGTGTTTTTTTTTTTTTCCCTTTTATTCCGGAAAATAATTTCTCCGCTCGGAGCCGCCTTTGCCCTGAATCTCCCCCACGGCGACACCGGCGAAGCAGCGGGCGTGCGGCGAAGCGCCGCGCGCCGAATCCTCCCCACTTAAAGACGCAGCAAAACCAACAAAAAACATGAAAAAGGCGGGGAACGCGCCCCCGAAAAAAAAAAAAAAAATACACCAAGCGGAGGCCGCCACGGCGCCCGCTAACTCCAACTGGGATCGTAACCCGTCCAGTCCGACGGAGGGGCGAGATAAACGCGACGTCCCCGGTAGACGAAGCTGACGATGCCGCGATAACCGGCGCGGGGGACGCCGGATTTGAGGTCGTCCATCAGCCCCAGGGCTTTGGCGAAGGCTTTGAAAGAATCGCGGCTGGTGTACTGCAAGCGGGCGGGGGCCCGCCTCTTCCGCCGGTTCCCCTGGAGCTCTTCCACCCTCACCTCCGGCGCGGCGTAAACCTCGGCGAGGAAAGAACGTTCGTACTCTTCCTTTTTGAGGTAAGAAAGGTCCAGCTGGGTAAAAGGCACGAAACGGTCGTTAAGTTTGATAAACTTTAAATATTGATCGAAAAATTGCCCGTGGCTCACTCCTTTACGACCGAACGTCATCGTACGGGAGACTTCGGGGCGGACGCAGGAACGGTCTTGGCGCTGCTCGGGTTGACGCATCCAATCGTCCCAAAAAGCTCGCGGCCATTTGGGTTCAAGTTCGTCCCAAAGTTCGGCTAAAAGCAACCAACCGAGACCGGGAAAAAAATCAGTCCGGTAAAGCAATTCGGCTTTTCCCACGTCCACCATTTGCTCTTTCCCGTTGTCGTTCCAAGCGGAGACGCACCACAGGCTGCGGTCGGCGAGGAGGAGCGGGAACGTCGCTTGGAAATACTCGAAAAAATCCGGAGCGACTTCTAAATCGTCCTCCACCACGATGGCGGCGCGGTAACGGAAGGTGCGGAAAACCTGTCCCAACGCCCAACGGTAATGCCGAGCGATTTTATAATAACCTTGGAATTTACGGTGTTCCGCCGGCACCGGGATATCGCCGAGATCGGGCTGTC